TAAAAACAGTAATCTAAACAAGTAGTAACGAATAACCAGATCAATAATTAATCGATACTATCAATTTCCACATTAAAATAATAGCAATTATAGTCTGTAAAACGAATAACTTTGAATTTGACAGTTCCCGCGGGCTTTTATAGTATTAATTTTATTAGGTCAGCAACTTGCGGCCATGCTGACGTAATGCCGTCTCTAATAGAACAGCTTCGGAGCGAGATTTATGACGTCACGCTAGTTAGATACTACAGATTAATAAATATGTTGTAGAATACATGGAAAACATAATTATTCCTCGTATTTTTAGTTTGTATTTTAAAAATGATATAGTTTACATGAAATATACATAATATACAGTTAATAAATACAATATATATACCTATTTATAGTAATATGAGGCAAATATTCATTCGCAAGAAGCTGAAGAGGATCCCGATATCTTTATTGTCAAAAAAAGCTTGTCTCATTAATTAAATTAATTTATTCACAGTAGTGGGAAAGATATCAATCTTTTGGTGATTTTGATTGTTGCGGATTGAATATGTAATAATACACGGAAAATGGTAGTAGAATCGTAGAATTTTCTCATTAAAGGAATCACACAAAAAAAATCACAAAGAAATGCATCTCAAACACTGGCTGATCCTCATTTTGAAGCCGAAATAACTGTATATGATTATATACTGATTCTGCACGAAATAATTGACTGTGAAAAAGAAAAGAAAAGTTCATATAGAAAAATAATGCAACTGCTTGCAACTAAATACTAATGTTTTCAAAGAGCACTTATACCAGAACGAGACTGCCGAAGTTGGAATTCTATTTCTTATAACTCTATATACCGGGTGCGTCTGAAAAGTGGCTCACCCCTATAAATTGTTTATTTTTTCGGAAGAAAAAACGAGACTTGGTATGTTAGTATACGACATTAGGATTAATTGACATATTCATTTGTTTTTGGTCACTTCCTGTTTCACCGGAAATTACTACAACTTTTGATTTTTAAATGGCACTCTCGGTATATTTCTATTTTATGCGATAGAAAATGACACTCTGAATAGAATGACATATTATATGAAAGTATATAAATAATAAACCATATTATGGTTTATTTGAAATTGTAACATGCGGTTCAAAACAATTTGACTGGAAATACCAAGTGTGTGGTATCAAATTATTCGTAAAAAAATGTTTTTTCCAAATATGCTAATGAGCCACCCTTGTTCCATTTGAAAAAAATTGATATATGATTAAAAATACGATTTCAGCATCTTTTAACCGGCCTGAACAAGACACGAAAAACATTAAACTATCAAATCTATTTTTCCAAGTCTCCTTGTTTAAAAATTAGTGTTTTTAAGACAGCCATGGCACTCTAGATTGAAATTTAAAATACGATTTTTTAAGTAAAAATGTGACATATGATATACCATTCTACTCAGAATGTCATTTTTTATCGAATAAAGTAGAAATATACCGAGGGTGCCATATAAAAATCAAAAGTTTTAGTCATTTCCGGTGAAACAGGAAGGGACCAAAAATAACTGAACCCGTCAATCAATCCTAATTTATGTCATATACTCACATACCAAATCTTGTTTTTTTATCTAAAATAATATAAAAATTGTAGTGGTAAGCCACTTTCGAGACGCACACGATGTAGAAAAAAAAATAACAACCGCAGAATAAGATTGAACGAAGAGGAGAATTTTGAAGAATCTTTAAGTGAAAATATATTGTTATCCTGCTAAGCATATTTATATAAATATGCTTAGTTGTAGGAATATATAAACAAGGGTTGTAGTTAAAGTATAGTATTGAAGGAAAGAGAGAGTTACAATAATTATTTCGTTTTAAAAACTAAGGGGTGGGGGCGCCAGATAGGGTACTCGCCCGGTCTCAATATTTCCCTTCCGCCGGCCCTGGGTGTCAATCCTTCTATGGGACACCTTGTCTTGTAATTTATTATAAAAATAATTATGGCATTTTAGAATATGATGTAGCTTGCATATAAAAACAGGTACATAGTTAATATTTTAGTTCGTTATAATAACGAAATGCCGGATGCTAGTTTAAATAACGCGGGATTGAGCGACGTACGTGCGTAGTATATTTAAATCAGATACCCAGTATCTAGGTACTAGAAAACGGATAATTATTACCTTATTAACACTTTAACAAGCCGGCAGTGAACCCGCAAATAGCTCGTTTAACGTATATCTCGATGGAATGTGGATAGTTTAGTTACCTACGGTACTTCTTTGAAGTAAATAACATCGCAAATTTATGCAGCTCTTAAATACTAGCTGAAAATAATTTAACTTATAAAATACTTGACCCAATCTCTGTAAGATATCAATACCGATAGTTATTCTTCTCACTTTTTTCTAAGCTTTTTAATACAGGGTGATCCAGGCTTCCGAAAAAGCTCTATATTATGGCGCGCTCAGGCGACTCGTGTACTTGACAAACATATTGATATGAACCGCCTATTTAAAAATAGACATATTTATTTCAATTCAAAACATTCATTTTTAAGACACTCTGTATACATAAACAAAATTACTGATTTTTAAAATATTATTCACAAACTAGGGAGAGGGAAATCAGGCGACGAACAGAGGTGATAGTTGTTAGATAATAGCTTCTAGACTACCATTCGAAACGAATTGATATTATTTTGGTTCTTGAGTTCTGTGACGAAGAATGTGATTAAACGTAAAGTAAATGTTTTCTCATAATTTAACTAATGTTAACTAAATCATATTATTTTGTTTTCTTGTTGTAATTCTGTTCTAAGGCTTTTCCTTATTCATTTGATCTGACAAAGACAATATATAACATATGTATGCATTTAATGGAATCTATCTATGCTGTAAATAATTTCAGTTTAAAAGTAATATAAATAAAACCGTTTACTGTTCCTTCGTGCCGATGTTTGTGGTTTGTGAGAATAAGGGCCTTGTTGAGTGTAATAACAATTTTCGACCGTGCATGGGCGAATATCTTAGCTCGCAAAAACGGCAAACAAAAACAATAAATAGAATATCTTATAGAATAACTTATAATTTATTAAATTATAAGATATTGGCACCAAACCTTCAACTTTAGCGTCGATTCTGCAACAAGGGACTTCGTACCTACGGGTGGGGACCCGTTAAACTAACAAAAAACTCTTCAGTTTTGAACGATATAAATGTGGCATGTTTTGAGTGTATTAAACTATAAACCTAGGTATGAGGACAGTTTCTATATTATTGTTTCTCTTTTATTAAAGTTCAGGACAGCATAGGTTTCTCTGCCGTGCTCTTTTACATGTGAATTCCAGGCAGAGTACGGCACTCCATTCATTTCATTTAATAAAATAAGTAGGGCTATTTACAAATTTAGCGTTTTATTTACATAACCTATTCTCCTCAAATTTCCCAAAATATTGGTTCTGTCGAGGCGCATGCGAGGTAATCACAATAAAAAAATATTTAACACAACGTAGGGTTCTTTCTTTCATTTAAATTTCTTGTTATACAGTTGGCCAAAATATTACTTCTTCAACTTTGTTGACGAATTTGGGTTGTTACACTACAATATGTAATTCGTAAACAGGGTATACAGGATGTGTATCTATACAGAATTTCTAAGTTATTTACTATAGGAGCTACGACGCACAATCGTCGAACCCTGTATGCCAATAAACAATACTTGCCGAGTAAGTACAGGAGTCAGTCAGAGTTTCCTTTCAGATTTTTGAAAAAGTTTATGGCTTACTAGATATTTCGGAAAAAACAAATTTCGGTTATTTTAAAAATTGTCCCTAATTCCATTATAATCTATTTTAGACACAAAAATTTAAGATAAAAGCTGTAGGTAATTACATCCTTAATGAGATTGTGTTCTCGGTTTTTTTTCTAAAGCCTGTCATTTTTGACATATTAACATGTTTTTTAAATGGAAACCATACTTGACCATTACTTCATAAAAAGAGTCATTTTTTAAGCTTTTCAGCGATATAAGCTATAATAATAGCCAATTCTTATCTTTCTTGACTAATTTCACTTAGTTGGTATGGTATTGTTATTGTGTTATGATTTATAACTTATAATAAAAAGGAATATTTCATTAAACGGTTCTTTAAAATAATTGTTGTTAACCATAGCGTATAAAAAATCTAAAATGGATAAGTCAGGTGATCGAAGAGGCCAATGCAATAATTGGTACACCTCTTCCTATCCCTGAGTTTGCATAATTATGATATAAATAATTTTTAACATTTCTTTCCTTATGGTGGGGAGCGTCGTCATAATGAAAGTCATGTTGGAATCACTCTATTAATGCGCGAGTCTCTAAATTTAACTTTTGACGTGTCTTGAAAACCATTCCCTAAAAAGTTTTTTCCCTAAAATTTTTTTCGAATATCGCCGAAAAGCTTAAAAAATGGTGCTTTTTGTGAAGTCATGGCCAACTATGGTTTCCATTTAAAAAAACATATATTTCTGTCATATGTCAAAAATGACAGGCATTAGAAAAAACGGAGAACACAGTCCGATTGAGAAGGTGATTATCTACAACTTTTATCTGAAAACATTTTTTCTAAAATAGATTATAATGGAATTAGAAACAATTTTTGAAATAGCCGCAATTTGTTCTTTTCGAAATATCTAGTAAGCCATGAACTTTTTCAAAAATCTGAAAAGCGCATATTTATGACCCCAGAAAACTGCAATTCTTTCCCGATTTAACCGACTTCCAGTAGTTTCCGAGATACCCGTAGAAAAAATCGTAGAAAACTCACCCTGTATATTGATACTGAAACAAATAAACATTATATTTTTTCGATTCCTCTTACAAATATTTTTTCTTTCAGTTTGTGACTGACGTCTTTTATTATTGGGCTACCCTGTAAATCTCATAGAAACAAGTAAACATAGAGGAGCCCTAACATACTAAATAACTATTGGCTAAATAAAGAACAAGAAAATAAAATAAAGTGAATGTTTTAATACCTTCTATTTGCGTTTTCTATTCTGAGAGTAGAAAAACTTCCAGTCCTCTGTTTGATGTCTTTCATCGAGGCATTTCCGTTGATATTCAGAGGAGTCGTGGGAGTACTGGAGTTCGAGGAGCTGCTTCTCAGCCCTTCTAAAGCGTTGAGGCGTCTTAAGGCATCTGCCAGGGTACCCTAAAAATGTAAACTTTGCTAAAACAAACTGAAATAATAATCCTCCTCTACGCTACATGCAAAGTTCCCCGCGAATAACTTTTGGAACTATAATAATAATAAGGAAGGAATAAACAGTAACTCCTAGATATCTTCTAGACGTTACTGGAAAAACTCAGTGGTTTTCTTATTTTGCATCGCACCTTGGCTAATATCCAAGTTAAGTTGATTTGGTTTTATGTCGACTTTCTAATATGGAGAGCAACCGATATTTTTTTTTCTCTATTTTTGAAAACTTGCAATTTTGTTGGCAGTTTTGTTTTGTCGGTTTGATATACACTATGATACCTGGTGCTACATTTGAAAAAAATATTACAGAGAAAATTGAAATACTCGTTTATTTCTTGTTTTAGTTTGTGAAAAAGTGGATACTTAATATGTATTTTCTGCTTATTTTGGTGGATTTTTCTTGGTAAGTCCAAAAGGGGGTAAAGTACTTACTTTTTTTACCTTACTTTTTTGCTCTGAGTGAAAATACTGCACTTTTTATTCCGATAAACATATCTACACAAGAACTATTTATAGTTCTTAAATCTCTTAAATTCAAGATGGAATACGACAATTTCGGATAAATATATAACCATTTACGTCAGCATTAATTTATTTTCAATTTAATAAACTTCTAATAAATTGTACTCGGCTACAGAGTACAATACTAATCGTGAAACATTTAATAATCTATCTCAAGTCTATTTAGTGAATAATTATTATATTAATCATTAACAGTGAATAAAAAATCAATTCTTATTTATACAGGGTGTTTCAAAAAACATGTGCCATCTCTCGTGAGGATATTCCTCACGTAAAAATAAGATTTATTTTTCATATCAATATAAGTCCGATTCTGCTTTGTTTCATAGCTACAGGGTGTTTAATAAACAGCTACAGTAACTTTAATAAATCGAAAAAAAAAACTTTAAGTTACTCTAAATCAGATATATTTTAAAGTTAAAAAAGTGTCGACATATTCATCAGAGACGTGCATATTATGGGTTATCAGTGGAAAATTTTTCTAAAAAAGCATGTAGGCCACTGACTTTTTTCTCTTGTTAGTGTAAGCAGTTTAATGCCGATTAAAAGTTGTCTCTTGATATTTTGTCGATTTCGGCCTCCTTGATGAGATAAATGCAATTTTATTAATTTGCTTTGCTCCAAGTCTAATAGCAATCTTTAAAACATTTTAATATCATTAATTTGCGAAAGTTTTACATAAGTATTCATTGATTCCTTATCAAAAAATATGAAAAAGAAATCCTATAAACAGGGATATGGAAATGCATAGTTTTAGAGTTACAGGATGTTAAGATTTTAAAATTAGGTTTTTTTGTAATTATCATAAATATATGTACTATTATTTTTTTTATTTTGTATATAAATTGTTGTAGGTTGGACTAATAATAATAATAACTAATAGTAATAATATTTAATAATAAATTAAGTAAAATAATTAATTTTATTTTTATTTTAATTTTATTAATAGTGATTAATAAAATTGCGTTTTTCTCACCAAGGAGGCTGAATTCGACAAAATATCAAGGGATAACTTTTAATTGGCATTAAACGGCCTACACGATTTGACATTAAAAATAAATTGAATTTGAAAAATAAATCTTATTTTTACGTGAGAAATCTCCCCACGAGAGATAGCACATGTTTTTTGAAACACCCTGTATAGATCTTGTCCCACAAAGCTACAAGTGCTATAAAATTATATTATATTATTTATTTTTATATTTTTTATGCCTTTCACACAAATCTCTGGTATTTCGGGTGAAAGGCCGCGTTGCAAGGCCCGGCTTCTAATTGAATTAAATTATTCTGGGTGCCGGGCCACAGCGGCATCCAAGGCAACGAAAAAGCCAATGAGCTAGCTAGGCAAGGATCATCGGCATCCTATCTTGGTCCAGAGCCAGTACTGGGAATACCCAAATGTATGGCCCGTAGTGCACTAAAACTCTGGATCAGGGACAAGCAGAATGTCCACTGGAGAAACAGACAGGGGCGCAGGCACATCAAGGCTTTTATCCAAGGACCTAGCTCTAAAACCGCAAAAGAAGCTTAGCAGGAATAAATTGCGGATTACAAAACAGGCCTCTTGACGACTATAACCTAACCTAACCCTCAAAGCCGGGTCCAAAGGGCGGATCCGCAGGCCGGGCCTTTCTGTATATGGGGAGCTAATGCACATACCCCGAGGCAAAATTCACAAAATTGAACGAGAAAACATGAGACAACTTTCCACACTATTCAGCCAACCTTGGCTAACTTCACTTCATGTTTTAAAAGATGAAATATAAGAGAACATAATTGAAAATCTGGCAGTAGTCTTCTGTTTCTATCGTTTCAGAGAACGTATAATAATTAAAAATAAATTTATAATATTAATTATTGTAGGTTGTAGGTATTAACTATTGTACAGGGTTATTTCTTGTCGCCTACTTTGTTTAAAATCTATATCAAGGAAGCTCTGGATGTATGGAGACGTAAGTGCTCAGGAATGGAGATACAGATTGGTAATCATTGCTTGACAACTTTGTTGTTCGCCGATGATCAGGATATAGTTGCTAATGATGAGGAAGATATTGACTATATGCTCAGAAAATTGAAAGAGGAGTACGCAGAATGGGGATTGAAAATGAACATGACAAAAACAGAACATCTAAAAATGGCAGACGATGGACAAGCAGACCGGAGCTTAGAACTCAGCAATATAAAACAATGCGAAGAATACAAATATTTAGGAACTATAATATCTCAAGAAGGAACATCAAACAGGGACATTCAACATAGAAACACAAAAATTCAATGTTTTGGTCGAATAAAATTAAATTAAAAACAAAAATAACAATCTAGAAATCGATAGTACAGCCTATTTTATCGTACGGGTCAGAATGCTGGCAATTGACTGAAAAAAAACAGGAAAAGAGTGGATGTTGTAGAAATGGATTTCTTGAGAAGAGCGTGTCAGATCTCAAGAACAGAACATATTCGAAATGAAGATATAAGAAGAAAGACAGGGAAGATATTCACAACTATAGTCAACATAGAAATAAGACAACTTGTTTAGTACATAGGACATGTGAAGAGAGCTGGGGAAGACCGATGGCCAAAAAGAGCTATAGAATATGCCCCTAGAAATCCAAGAAGAAGAGGAAGACCAGTGATATCATGGGAAGAACGAATTTGAAACACAATGAGAGATATGGCCATTAGAGATGACGAATGGCAAAACAGAAAAATGGCGATCGAAATGCGGGATGCGGCAGAGGCTGTATAGGACCTCCTATAGGATATATAGGATATATATATATATATATATATATATATATATATATATATATATATATATATATATATATATATATAAATGATTAATATAAATATTAATAAATAATATTTTCTTGCCTTTAGCTGTGTATTTTTTCAAATTTCGAAAAATCGAAAGTAGAGAAAAAAAAAAAATAACAAGTAAAAAGAAAATTGTTTTGCTTGTCGTAAAGGGGGGAACCAAGCTCCACTCCCACAACCGGTTTCTGGGCCTACCCTGCATCAGGTGGGCTGTCCAGAGGCTGGTTCTCACCGATACGGCAAGCAAAACTTCTTCTATATCAACAGACGATGTCGTAAAGTGTCGGTGAGATATTAGTGCATCTCCCGTCAAAAGATGGTAAAGAGCGTTTTTCGGCCCGCTCAAATATATGAAATGAACAAAATTCTTACAGCTTTAGTGCATATAATAAATAATATTTTCTTGCCTTTAGCTGTGTATTTTTCTAATTTCGAAAAATCGAAAGTAGAGAAAAAAATAACAAGTAAAAAGAAATTGTTTTGCTTGTCGTAAAGGAACCAAGTCAACTCCCACAAAACGGTTTCTGGGCCTATCCTTCATCAGGTGGGCTGTCCAGAGGCTGGTTCTCGATACGGCAAAAACAAAACTTATATCAGACGATGACGATGTCGTGTCGGTGAGATATTAGTGCATCTCCCGTCAAAAGTCATTTTAAAGCTGTAAGAATTTTGTTCATTTCATATATTTGAGCGGGCCGAAAAACGCTCTTTACCATCTTTTGACGGGAGATGCACTAATATCTCACCGACACTTTACGACATCGTCTGTTGATATAGAAGAAGTTTTGCTTGCCGTATCGGTGAGAACCAGCCTCTGGACAGCCCACCTGATGAAGGGTAGGCCCAGAAACCGGTTGTGGGAGTGGAGCTTGGTTCCCCCCTTTACGACAAGCAAAACAATTTTCTTTTTACTTGTTTTTTTTTTCTCTACTTTCGATTTTTCGAAATTAGAAAAAATACACAGCTAAAGGCAAGAAAATATTATTTATTAATATACACTAAAGCTGTAAGAATTTTGTTCATTTGATATATAATTATTGTAGGTACTAACCTTAAGACAAAGAATTTCATCTCCCTGTTCCAGAACTTTCCTTTCAAGATCAGCCACTCTTCCAGCGACTCCTCTATTTTCAGCTTCGAGCATCTCATCTAAAACAACGAAAACAAAAATCAATACAAAAATTAAATCGATCATATCAATAATTACAGAAACCTTGTTTTTGGTTTTGATGTGACCACACTGTTGGTTTTGACGAGCAAGATAATTTTGGTATATAACTGTAAGGCATTAAATTTTTTGGTATTGGTTTGTGTCTTTGTTTTTTTTTACTGGAATTTTTTAAAATATTTCGGCATTTTAATGATTGATCTTGACAGGTCGATATAACCTGTCTAGAGTTATGACGTTGTTAGTGTCATAAAAATACAGTTTTAAGAAGGTTTTAAGTTAGGTATACAGGGTTTTATGAATAAGTGCGAAAATTTAAATAGTCGTGATTGTTTTTAAAAAAATACCAAATTTATCATTTCACTCAAATAACTATCTACACGTGTTTATGTTTTGTCAATAATGACATGTATTGCTTATTTCCATTCTAAATATCTTGAGAACGGTTGCTCGTAACGATTTTCAACAAGAGAGCCTTTTTACGTAAAAAACAGTGAAAATGTATATTTTTTCACTCAGTAGTTTTATACAGGTTCAAGAGAAAAGTTATTACCCTTCAAACCAGTTAAAAATATGTAGGGGGCACCCCCTACAAGTAGGAGTTATATTGACATTAAAATCAAAGTATAGTAAACGCCATGAATGTTTGGGAGTGATTAATTGCTTGATGAAGTTAGAATCGACACGCGCGCAATCATTTTTACATTAAAAACGTAAATTTTTACCGCAGACGTAGGTTTTTAAAGGCCCGGTCTAATCATCTGCCTGCGCTCCTCCTACATATTCTAAAATGTTAGCGTGAATGACAAAGACGATACTATAACGCGTTTCTTTGATTGATTCGTTTTTATGCGTCAGTCCATTGGTGTGCTTGCAGTGCGACCAATGGGGCATTCCAGTTTATATTTATAACCAAATATATGTTTTGACCTTTGAATAAGAAGACTAAGGAAGGAGCATATCAAAAATCTTAGGTACACCGCGATGGGCCTCAAATATGGCCGACTTAAATTCCGGTTTATCAGTGTCGTTCTAATTTTATTTAAAAAATGTAAAACTATGATGTAAGGTAGACGTGGGATAGACTCAATAATTTGTTGTTTTATTTTACGGTGTGAATAAATGTTGGTAGTTATTAAAATTGTTATAAAAATAAATAATTCTAATAAAAATAGATAAGTTATAATAAGTATTTATTAACACAAACATCCGATACGCTACTGAAGCAGGTAAGTCAAATTAACGTATCTAAATTCTTTGACATCTAATCTTTGACAAGTAATAAATAAAAGCTAAAATGCAAGAAAAATATATAATTTAGTTAATTTAAGTGAATTTCATACATGATCGGTTTACTACACGTATGCATATTATATAGTTACTTACTAGCGAAAAGCTGTTATTATTTCACTCAATTTTTGCCGAGATCTACCGCACGCTACACAACTAACTATTTTAGAGTCTTTTTCGATAAATCGCGATAGTGTCACTGTAAATTTAAGTTCTGCCACAATTTCCATCTAGATTTACTACCTTTATACAACTATCAGTAGTAGAATAAATAATAAATAACATAAAATAAGCTCCGTAAAGACTGACAAATCCACAAAATTTCAAATCAAATTCAAATGTGTCAAATGAATCGTCAAACAGAACTGTCAAGGATCCCCACCCTAGAGTGCTTTTATGGTGCTTTTTCCGCCCGCCATGCATGAATACATGGATAGCATTATGCTCCTTCCTTAGTGTATGAATTCAAAGGTTTTGACAAGATTTTGACAGTTAAAACAACAGATTACGACAGATTATATATTGATTATTATATGACTTGAAACACCACGGCACTGGAATTAAGTTTTATGTGACCTTGAACAGATTAGTTCACATGGTAGCGACCGATGAATCACTCCCAAACATTCGTGGCGTTTACTATATTTATTATACTTTTTATTAGTTCAGAAATTATTTGGAAAAAATGAAACTTCTGCACCCTGTATCTCCGAAACGAAACATTTTAGGACATAAATTTATACGAACTTTTCTATTTTATCTGTAGAATATGCTGCCAGTTTCCTGAATACAATCCGGACCACCCTGTAGATAAAACCTGAGTACCTAATGGCACTACTTTCTTTAACGTTAGGTAGTTTATTAATAAAAATGAACCAACAACGGGTAACAAATTATTACTTTCTTACGTAATAAATCAACCTACATAAACCGATAAAAAGCAATAAAATATTAAAATGAGTTTCAGTGCATATATCACTTAATTATTTCAGTTTAATGGAGTTATAGAGGTGTAAAATATACCTCCGCTCCCATAAATTTAGAAGCAATAAAAAAGACATAAGGAAATAAAACCAGTGCTGTATAAACATAAAGGTTTTATGTTTATAAATAATACATATAAGTAGAAATAAAAATATTATTTTAAAGATTTTTTTTAATAGTCTATGTAAAAAATGTAAAAACTTTTAGTAATATATAATATATTTACTATACAGCTTGTATCAATAAAAAAAACTGCCTTATCCATACTGATGTATGTAAATGCATATAGTTATCTTAGAGTTTTTCCTATAAAGAGTAATTTTTAATAAAATGTTAACTTACTGTAAGAATTGGTTAAAGAATTCTGCAAAGCGGTTTTGTACAAATTAAGGTTCACATCAGACTTTTGTTTATATTTCTTAAACATTTTAATATTTGAAAACATTGTAATGTTTAAACGCCGTACATTTTAACACTGGAAACACTGTCACTGCCGTATAAGAATTTTTTGTCATTTTAGTAACTTAAAAATAAATATTGTCATTTGAATTATATTTAGAATACTGTGGTGTTCCGATAACTGATATTATATTAAAACTGAATTGAAAATAAGCCAGTTAATCACATGCGATATAGAAAGGTCGTGATCTATCTAAAATTTACATAAATTAATAAATGATGCATATACAACCATATACACATAAAATCAAAAAATATCGCACAGTAATATAAAAGTACTCTTAAAAGGCATATAGAATAGGGTACAGTCAAGCGTGGGGTTGTCCACTAAGGACACCAGCATTCATTAGTACGTCTAACAATTTGTTGCCATATTGTCGAATTTTCTATACTTCTACTGCTAAAGATGTTTTATTGTTTTTTTTTTATATAAAAACGGCTTTTCTTAATTTTCGCTTTTTCCACTGAGGTTCCCAGTGGACAACCCGACCATTTTATGTTGAGGTGCTTGGTCCACACATGATCTGCAATATCTCACTTCTTTGTTTCATCTATTTGCGTATGATTAGTTTCGCTAAGTCGTAGCCAGTGCTGCCAACTTTTTGAAAAAGAATTTCTCACGAAGGGGCACAATTTCTCGTTTTTTTTTCTAAAAATTCCCACGAGTTTTCAAATCCAATATAATGTCGTCTATTATTAAAATAATAATAGAGATATTGTTCTTTTTAACAGAAAATTTAAAAAATTTTCAAGCAAATTTCAAAATATACTTTTTTTTCGCCCAAAAAAAACTCATGCCGTGTTCCCGAGATCGAGAAATACCATCCCTATAGAAATATCTGCACTTATTTAAAATTCACTTTGTATATACGACGGGTACGAGAATAATGTCGGATGCCAAACGAAAATGTGTATTTAGTTGCGGTAATGTTTCCCTTTGCTTTCTGAATCACGAAATTTTCCAGGAATCGGGAAATTTCCCACGAGTTGGCATCACTGGTGGTCGTAGCCTTGTATATGTATACAGGGTGATTCAAAAGACATGTGCTATCTCTAGTGCGGAGATTCCTCACGTAAAGATATGATTACTTTTTTATATCAGTGTGGATCCGATTTAACTTTGTTTCGTAGCAACAGAGTTATTAGTCTTCTTTTTTTTTCGATTTATTATAATTTCGTTCCAAGCGCCATTAGTGATTCGAATGGCATTTTGAGGATCAAAGTTACTATAAGTGCTACATATTTTAATGCTAAAAAAGTGTCGATATATTCACCAGGGACGTGCATATTATGGGGTACACTGGAATAATTTTCTTAAAAAACATGTGCGCCACTGATAAAATTTATTTATTTAATCTAATTTGTTATTAAATTTTATTAAAATTTATAACACTTATGTTCACGGCTGCCTACAGGAAACTAAAGAAATAATGGTATTTCAGATAATTACAGAAGACCTATTTTTTAAAACTTTTAACACCCTGTAACTTTAAAACTATGCATTTCCGTACTCATGTTTATAAAGATTTTTTCTCATATTTTTTGATGCAGAATCAATGAGTAGGTACTTCTGTAACACTTTGACCATTAAATAAGATTAAAAACTTTTAAAGGTTTTTATTAGACCTGGAATAAGGCGAATTAATAAATTTGCGTTTATCTCATCAAGCAGATCGAAATCGACCAAATATTAAGAGACAACTTTTAATCGGCCTTAAACCACATATACAACTGTGCTAAAAAAATAAAAAGCCAGTGGCGAATAGTTTTTTTAATATTCCCTTGATAACCTATATGCACGTACCTGGTGAATCTGTCGATACTTTTTTTCATTAAAATATGTATCACTTATAGTAACTTTTACCCTTTTACTTATATAGGCTTTTACCATCAAAATTTCATTCGAATCACTAAAGGCACTTAGGAAGGAAATTATAATAAATAGAAAAAAAGAAGTCCTTACCTCACTGTAGCTACGAAACAAAGCAGAAAAAATGTTAATTTGAAAAATAAATAGACCATACCAACAGGTATGGTAGGCTAAGATCGGCAAAAAAAAATTAATTTCACTCAAAATGAGTTATTTGGGTCATAAATGACCTAAATACAAAATATTTTCATGGTGTCTGTCTGTCTGTCTGTCCGTCTGTCTGTAACACGATAACTCAAAAACCGCTAAACCGATTTTAAACAAATTTGGCACAAAAATACTGTGGCACCCGAGAATCTGGCCATTAGTTTTTGGTGG